GAGAGCGAGAGCGAGAGCGAGAGCGAGAGCGAGAGCGAGAGCGAGAGTGAGAGTGAGAGTGAGAGTGGGTGAGTGTGAGTGCGAGCGTGAGTGCGAGCGTGAGTGTGAGTGATTGTGAATGTGAGAGTGGGTGTGAGTGAGAGTGAATGTGACAGCGTGAGCGTGCGTGAGTGTGAGTGAGCAGAGTGAGAGTGAGAGAGTAGAGTGAGAGTGAGAGTGAGTGTGCGAGTGAGAGCGCGAGAGAGAGAGAGAGAGAGTGAGAAGCGCTATGCCACGAAATCTGCGCTTCGAGGTTCACAAAGTGCTGCGCCTGTTACGAAATCTGCACTTCCAGGTTGACAAAGTGCTGCGCCTACCACGGAATCTGGACTCACAAAGTGCTGCGCCTGCCACGAAATCTGCACTTCAAGACACATTGCGCAGACCTGCCAGGGCGTTTTGCCGCAAGAGCGCTTCCAAAGACAACATCAAGATACCAAAATGCAGCTTTCGCGCGAGACTTCCCCCGATGTCTGAAAACGACCCACATGTCCAAAAGTCACGATTCACTGCGCCCGTCACAAAATTAGAGCGCGTCGAAGATCACCATGAAGTCCAAAGTGCTGCGCCTGCAACGAGATCAGCGTATCGAAGTAACACCGCTCCGATCCGCTGCACCTGTCACGAAAAGTCGACTTTGGACCACCAAAACACGAGGTTGCCCTTGCCTCTGCCACGAAAAGTGACCTCCTTCTCCAAAGCCAGTGTCTTTACAAACGTCAATGGAAAAGCGTCACAGCCTAAATCTCATTCAGTCCAAACGAGGTCTTATCCACTATGGAACCAGCTCTTTGAAGTTTGGAGGCTCAAGGCCTTCAAAGAAGTTTGGAAACTCAAGGCCTTCAAAGAAGATGGGCTCAAATAATAGAGGAAGCTAACTAAGAGTCTCTAGATTCTAGATCACTGGTCCAAGGCACAAATATCTCAACTTGTCTTACATTCTAGTTACATTTCACACATGAAGCGCCGATGGAGTGAGAACGAATCCGCGTCAACAACAGGTTCAAGTTCCTCTGCCTCAAGGTCGGCCTTTTCTCGCTTGACCTGCCAGCTTCAGACTTCAGATTGATCAGACAGCCTCTTCACATGTGCTTCCCCAAAAGACTGTTTGTGTTTGGTGGTTCTCTTTTAGCTTATTGAGTGTGGTAATTTGGAGCTTCAAAAAGATTCTTTTTGGTTGTCTCAGGACACGCCTTGTTTTCGAAGATCAGGTCCAGCTCTTTGAGGCCCTTGGCGGGACAAAGCTTCGCTGCTTGCAACGGACCAAGTTTTCCAGGACACATGCCTTCTACATGAACAACCTTGAAAATGGATGTACAAATGCTTGATCTCATCTACTTAGGCTTCGATTTTTGAGTTTCAATTCTTACTCCCTGCAACCATGTGGTAAAAATGCTGAAGTTCACCCATACGATCATTACCAACGACTTTGCAAGCTTCTGGGCGTTTTAAATGACCAAAAATGCCTCTCGCAGTCGCGACCACCCCTTGCACAAGCCCAGGAACCTTAAGAATCTTCTGGAGCCGCGCTTCCATGGCTCTATTGTTCAAACGTTTTCAATCCTATGTATGTCGCTAACCTTCAGCATGAAATGTGCTTGCGCCAAGCAGGGCACACTTCTATGATGGCAACACGCTGTGTGGCCGAACAGGGGTACCGAGCTACCTCTATTGATCCATGCTGAGCAATATTGCATTAGAAGTGAAGGTTCCTGCTTTGATATCCTGAGTCCATCAGGATTTGCGTGCCTGAGTGAGAATACAATAGTTACTGTACTTCGAGTGATCCCCACCATGACATTTCAATCATTTGTCTTGATGCCATAGTGAGGAGCATGTTGCCATGGTCGTGAGTATTGTAGTTCTCGATTTTGCTTGGGGGTCCTCAGGTTGTGTGTTGTGTTTGTGGTTGTGTGCTGTGTTGTGGTTGTGTGTGTTTGTGGTTGTGTGTTTGTGGTTGTGTGTTTGTGGCTGTGTGTTTGTGGTTGTGTGTTTGTGATTGTGTTTGTGGTTGTGTGTTTGTGGTTGTCTTTGTGATTGTGTGTTTGTAGTTGTGGTTGTGGTTGTGTGGTTGTGGTTGTGTTTGTGGATGTGTTTGTGGTTGTGTGTTGGTGGTTGCGTGTTTGTGGCTGTGTTTGTGGATGTGTTTGTGGTTGTGTGTTTGTGGTTGTGTGGCTGTGAATGTGGTTGTGTGTTTGTGATTGTGGTTGTGTGTTTGTGATTGTGTTTGTGTGCTGTGG